ATCTTGACTGGACCTGTAGCTTTTCCTGTGTTGAGCAATTTCTTGATATCATACTGAGTAAGTGAAAATCACCGAGAACTGACTTTTGCAATGGTCAGCACCTTAGCAGGTTACTGAGATGGATCACCACTTGGCAATAATAGATGAAAATGGTTACAGAAGATTCATCCTTATATTTTATAATCATGCTGAGTTGCATCGTCATTCAGGATTGAGACATATATGGAGCCACAACCTCACACTTAACTGTCCACTGTCATTCACAACAAAATGAGCCAAGACTAGAAAGCTTTGAACTGCTCTGTTAGTTGTCAGATTCTTTTCATCTCTTTTAGTCATGTGTGATTGTGTGTATGCTTAGCCCTGAGCTATCACTTCATCAGATTGGCAGTTCATTTTCAAATGTGCATTAGTGCTGCTAGGATGAGAGAATGAATGCCTTTTATCTTTAGAATACTTGAAATTAATCTGTCATCATTAGTGTTATTCCAAATGTCTTGAGCATTGATTTTAACTTAATGCATCCCGTGGGAATGAAGTGCTTTTAGTTGAGGCACCCAATCTACACCCTAATATCTGTTGTATGGAAGTCAATGGAGTGTAAGATTGGGCCGAGTTTATATCAAGCATCCAACTCAAACGTGCTGGTTTCTGACTTGGAGAGTTAGACTAAATTCAGGGCATCAGTACATTGTCCTTAAATATTTGACCTTCTATTAGAGAATAATTAACATAATTTATGATTGAGTCAGATTGAAATTAAACGAGATACATTTTTGCTTTTCTTTTGGTAATTTAATTAAACTTGATTATTTTAATTACTGTTGAAGTGGAGCATAAATTAGACCTCTTTCTAGTAACCATTACTGGATGGCTTTTCATATTTAGTTGACATATTTAGTTGCAGAAATCAATAAAATAGAAAACTAGGATGAGAAGAATATCTTATGAGGATGAGTTAGGCTCAGTTTGTTTCCTTTGGAGTTTAGAAGAGTAAGCAGTGTCTTGATTGAAGTGTATAAAATTCTGAATGGCCTTGAGAAGTTGAACTTGAAGAGGTTGTTTCCTCTTGTGGGTCAGTTCAGTCTAGTACAAGAGGGCACTACTTTAAAATTAGAAGTCCTTTTAGGACAGATATGCGAATTTTTTTTTCTTTGAGGGCTGTGCATCTTTAGAACTCTACCCCAGGAGGCAGTAGAAACTTGGTTATTAAAAATGATTGCAGCAGAGGTACATAGTCATAGGCAAGGGATCAAAAAGTTATCAAGGGTAGATAGAAGCGTGGAATTCAAAGCACAAACAGATCAAACGTGATCGTGTTAAATGATGGGGCAGGATCAAGGGTCCGAATGGTCTACTTTTCCTATTTCATATATTCATAGATCAGAGTTTCTTATGCAGAAACTGAGCTTGATTGATTTTCTAAAATTATATACTTTAACTTAAAAGTTGTTTCCTTACAAATGTTCTTTGAAGAATGTCATCAAATTTTCATGTTCTACAGCTTCAAATAATTGTGATGTGTAGCAGTCTGTTCCACAACATGGTTGTCGTGCTATGCAGCTTTTAGGTTTGAATTGTTCCTATTCTTGATGATATGCAACATATGCCTGAACACAAATTGTCTTGATAGATTGCAGGTTGAGATCCATAATGTTCATAATTTCCATGTGTGTTGGTCAATATCATTTCTGTTGCCGTAGCTTCCTACAATCCAAACTTAATGAGAACAGTAAATTAATTTATTCAAAACTTTAAGGAGTGACTTCTTTTAAATTTGAAGAATATATTTACCTTGTATGGCATTTCAAAAATTTCTTTCTTTTTTATTAATTGCCTACTAATCTGCAACTAAACGTCATTGTTCAAAGCATTTTGTCTGTCAGGTTATCAGTTTAATGGTCTTGAGACTGGAACATTCACAATGAATATGTGTGGTAGCATCTGTGTTTTAAATTTGCACCATGTACTTCAGTAATTACAGTGTAGATGTTCAATTGAAAGAATCTGCATTGATGCCAGGATGATGAATATTGTGCATTTAAGAACCAACTTTCAAGCTCAGTCTGCTTGTACTAGATATAGGGAAACTCATTTTTGATTTTATAGGGAATTAAAAGTGGTATTAATTTTAACATACTGATAACAACCACAAAAGTGTTTTTTACAGATTTCCAATATCATTGGAACTAATGGTATATAATAGATTCCTTTCAGCAATCGTTAGTAATTTTCACTAACTTGCTGTAAAACTAAATAGAGGATTGATGATGTAAGTTGATAATTTTGAAGTGTTTGCTGTTACAATAAATACAGAAAACATCCTCAAAATTAGTGTTACACTAGTTGGCACCCTCTGCCTACAAAACCCTATTATTTACATATTTTTATAATTTTGTATCAGCTATTTCCACTCTTAAAGTGTTATGACCACACTTAAAATTGAAATTGCTTGTGAAATTATCATGATGATATTGCACCCTCATGCTTTTTTTTGTATATACCTCTGTTCCGGGGCCTTTCTCTAGCTAACTGCTTTCCTCATGTTTCCAAGCTTTCTAAAATTAGAATAAGGATGTAGTCCTTTACAGCTGAATAAAGGCAACTACAGAGGCATGAGGGAGGACCTGGGCAGAATTGAGAGGAGCCTAGAAGGAAAAACAGTGGAACAACAATGGCAGGAGTTTCTAGGAATAATTGAGGAAACACAGCAAACATTCATCGCAAGGAAAAAGAAGCATGGACAGGGAGGATGATGCAACCATGGCTGACTAGGGAAGTGAAGGATAGCATAAAAGCAAAAGAGAAAGCATATAATGTGACGAAGGGCAATGGGAAACCAGAAGATTGGGAAGCTTACAAACACCAACAGAGGACAACCAAAAAAATAAGGAGGGAGAAGATTAAATATGAGGGTAAGATAGCCAGTAATATAAAGGAGGATTTTAAGAGTTTCTTCAGATATATAAAGGACAAAAGAGAGGCAAAAGTGGACATTGGACCGCTGGCAAATGACGCTGGAGAGATAGTAGAAAGGAACAAGGAAATGGCTGGGGAACTGAATAATCACTTTGTACCAGTCTTCACAGTGGAAGACATGAGAAATATCCCAAAAATTCAAGAGAGTCAAGGGGCTACACTGAGTATGGTGGCTATCACCAAGGAGAAGGTGCTAGAAAAATTGAATGGTCTGAAGATGGATAAATCATCTGGACCAGATGGGCTACACCCCAGAATTCTTAAGGAGATAGCTGAAGAGATAATAAAGGCATTAGTGGTTTGATCTTTCAGGAATCACTAGAGTCAAGGAGAGTCCCAGAGGACTGGAAAATCGCTAACATGACACCCCTGTTTAAAAAGGGAGTAAGGCAAAAGACAGAAAATTACAGGCCGGTTAGGCTAACCTCGGTCATTATTAAGATTTTGGAATCCGTGGTGAAGAATGAGATTTCTGAATACTTGGAAGTGCACAGTAAAATAGGGCAAAGTCAGCATGGCTTCATCAAGGGAAGGTTATGCCTGACAAATCTGTTGGAATTCTTTGAGGAAGTATCGAGCAAGTTAGGCCAAGGAGAGCCAATGGATGTTATTTATCTGGACTTCAAGATGGCCTTTTCCAAGGTGCCACACAGGAGGCTGCTGTGTAAGATAAGGGCCCATGGTGTTAGAGGCAAGGTGATAGCATGGATAGAAGATTGGCTGTCTAGCAGAAAGCAGAGAGTGGGGTTAAAAGGGTCTTTCTCAGGATTGCAGCCGGTGACTAGTTGTTTCCACAAGGGTCAATCTTGGGACCACAACTTTTCACTTCATCCATTAATGATCTTGTGGTTGGATGGCTCGCCGAGCTGGTGCATTGTTTTTCCGCAGACGATTCATTACCATGCTGGGTAACCACAACATCCACAACTCGAGCTACAAATCTATTCTAAAACCTTGGACACTAATGACCTAGATGAAGGAACTGAGGGCATTCTGGCTAAGATTGCAGACGATACAAAGATAGGTAGAGGGACAGGTAGTACCGAGGAGGCGGGGAGGCTGCAGAAGGACTTGGACAGGTTAGGAGAGAGGGCAAAGAAGTGGCAGATGGAGTACAACATGGGAAAGTGTGAGGTCTTGCACTTTGGTTAGAAGAATAGATTATTTTCTAAGTGGTAAGAAAATTTAGAAGTCTGAAGCCCAAAGAGACTTGGGAGTTCTAGTCCAGGATTCTCTAAAGATAAACATTCAGGTTGAGTCAGTAGTTAAGAAGGCAAATGTAACTTTGGTGTTTATTTTGAGAGGACTTGAATATAAAATCAGGGACGTACTTTCACGGCTCTAAAAGGCTCTGTTCAGACCACATTTGGAGTACTGTACACAGTTTAGGATCCCATATCTCAGGAAGGATGTACTGGCCCTGGAGCAGGTTCAGAGGAGGTTTACGAGAATGGTCCCAGGAATGAAAAGCTTAATAAATGACGAACGTTTGAGGACTCTGGGTCTATACTCAATGGAGTTTAGGAGGATGAGGGCGGATCTAATTGAAACTTACGGAATACTGAATGACCTGGACAGAGTGGATGTTGGAAAGATGTTTCCATTGGTCAGAGAGACTAGGACCCAAGGGCACAGCCTTAGAGTTAAGGGAAGACCTTTTAGATGGAAGATGAGGAGAAACTTCTTCAACCAGAGTGGTGAATCTATGGAATTCACTGACACAGAAGTCTGTGGAGAACAGGTCATTGAGTATATTTAAGACAGAGATAGATAGGTTCTTGATTATCAAGGGGATCAAGGTTTACAGGGAGAAAGCAGGAGAATGGGGTTGAGAAACTTACCAGACATGATTGAATGGCGGAGCAGACTCGATGGACTGAATGGCCTAATTTCTGCTCCTATGTTTTATGGTCTTGTGGTTCTGTATATGTACTTAAATTAAGATTTATTTATTCAAATTATTTATTATGTGTTTGTCCTGAAAACAAAGTTAACAATAATTGTTTCATTTCCTTTCCCAGTTCTCAGTGGATTGTGTTCCAATGATTGCCCACATAAGGTCACTGTAAGTAATACTTTGAATTATATTTGTTAAAAAGTAACACTGACTTCTTAAAAATGTTTGATATGTAGCATAATTAAGCTGGTTATAATCGAGCTAGTTGGCTATATGAAAAATGTTTCCCTGTGCAGTCTACTGTGAAATTACAATACAGAGGACATATTACATAAAGTTCAAAAATTAAATTATTGAATGCTGCTTTGATGATTACAGTATAAATTGAGATATTAATCATCTCTTATATAAGTTAGAATTGTTAGTTTTATTTGAACAACTATTGCTTAACAATAGCATAAGCATTGAAAGTGAATCCAATATGGGAGTATCTAATGTCATACGTAGTATTATGAGTTAAAATCTTTTACTATAAAGCTCATCATTTTCAAATAATACATTGAACAGTCCAATGTATTTTTGGTAATTGTTTTCTTAAATGCTAATTATTTTTATTCACATAACCTAGGTTTAAGGGGTTTGGATAAGAGAAAGGAATATGGTCTATCCCTGTCAGAACGTTGGAATTAAATTAATTCCAGATGTTTTCAAAATGTGGACCAAACTATGTTAGCATTTGCCCAGAAAATAAGCATCTCTTGTTTTGGATTTGTTTTCCTGAAAAACATAAACAATTGTGCTATACAAATGAAAGCAAAATGCTGTGACTGCTGGAATCTGAAATACAAAGAAAGAATCTGCAGGTCTGGCAGCATCTGTAGGGAGAAGAACAGAGTTAATATTTTAGAGTCTAGTATGACTCTTCTTAGGAATGCTGTTACTCACCAATCTGTATTAAAAAGTAATTAAGAGTTCCTTGATGGTGTAAACAATTTAAATTAGACTGTAATGTGCAGGTGGTGAAAATGACTCTAAATGAGATTGTCCTTTTTTTTCACCCTTGGCAAATTCAGTGTTTCACAAAATGTGAACTGAATAACATGGAAGGAATATTGAAATCCTGTTTGTCAGGCTACTAAGAAAGCCCATCATTTTTTTTCTTCAGGAGTCAAATGAATCCTTCAAAGCCTTAAAGATCAGTGGATTTATAGCGAATATCCTGCTCCAAATCTGATTCCAGTTTTGAGAAAATAGAAAAGATGTGGATAACCTGTTTATACTCGATCTGATCATGAGTGGAACAGCACAGGAGTTGCTAGCATTTAAAATAAACATCAATTTTCAATGTCAGGAACCTAAGGGCTATTGCAACTAAAACAATATTCTGCTTCAATCTCAAAAATCCAATGGCGAACCTTCTATGGCAGGAGAGCTATGCATGTAAAGTCAAAGGCTACTGAGATAGGCAAGAATGTGGACTTAAGGATACAATAAGATCAGCAACAATCTTATTGAATGACAGACAGAATAGGCTCAAGGAGACAAATGGCCTATTGATGGTTCTAATTTAGATGTTCATGTTTTTTTTTGTTGACTATGCTAACTTTGCATTAATTTGCAGCCTGCTGCTAATTTGATTCAGAAAAAACATGTTAAGATTCCACTATTGAAACAATTGCATTTGATTCATCATAGGCAAGTAAAAGTTTAAAATGCAGTGTTGATAATCATTGTAAAACCTATACATTAATGGAACACAATTTATCTTGCAAGTGTTTACATTTTCCTTGTTAATTTTGTTTAAAGATTGTATGTTCACAGGGAGCAATCATTGAGGTGATAATTTTAGTATTCCTCAAACCAAGCATTAACCTACACAATTATTATGTACATATTTTTTCAAAATTAATCTTTAGTATATCGAAGCTTTTACATAAACAGTGTTCTGAAGTTTACTATCTTCTAAACTGCTTCAGTACTTTACATAACATTAAATAAAGATTGGTTTTATCATTTTACTTAGAATATTGTCTTTATATTCAGATAAGCCACAGTTTGCTCTGTAAATACCTTCCATGATATCCATTGTCCAGTGATTCCCAACTGGTTCCAAACTTATGCTCCTATTTTACTTTTACGGGTATTGAGTGAAATTATTGCGCATATGGCATTATCCAAATTTTACAAAATTTTGTAAAGCAAACTTGTCTTAGCAACCTAAGGGTTTTAACTGCATTGTTTGTATCATTACCATCAGCCATATTTTCTTTGTTCATTTTCAACAGAATTACAGTTGTCTTGCATCTACTTGTAGCTGGGTCGATATTAGCAGTCGGATACATTGTTTTCACACTGTTGTATTGAAGGTTCTAAAGCAGCCAGTAAACTAACATTGCTAGATATTGTATAGTGTTTAAACTGAAGCAAACTTTGGAGTAGTATGTTTTTATGGGTTCACATTTATTCATTTGTAATTTAATTCTGATTAGCTAGTGAGAAGACAATTCATACAGATGCAATAAATTAAAAATGCCAGCAGTTGAATACTTTGGTTGATTTCCACAAAGCTGTTAATCATTAAATTGACTTATTGTTTATACAGGATACTTGATAATAACCTAGTCAATACTGTAAGCCTACTTGGAGCAGGAAGAACCAAATACATTGACTCATGTTCCTACAACAGGGATATGGTATATTATTCTATTCATATTTGGGATTTAGGTTTTATTTGCTTTACAAATTATTTTGGCCCTGTGTATCTTTAAGGATGGACAGTGGTCGGAATTACAAACTACTCTGTAACAGCAATCATTTCCACCTCAACTCTTTATTATATTTGTTAATTATTTGAATGATGGCATCAAAAGTTGTAAAACTGAGTTTTCAGATTGTATAAAATTAAGAAAGACAATGCAGGTGGATGCAAGAAGTTGCAAAAGGACACTGCAGAAGGGGAAAGGTATCACAAATGAAATTTGATCTGTATAAGTATCAGGTTTAGTACTTTAGACTCATGAAAAATAAATCAGTATTTTCTAAGTGGCAAGGAACTATAACTGTAGGACACCAAGTAAGTTTGAGAGTCAAAGTACATAAACCATTAAACTGACAGAAATTTTAAAAGGCTAATGAAATGTGAGTTTTTGTTTTAAGGGGCTTGAATACTATTGGAAGCAAGTTCTGCTCCAGTTCTGTAAAACCCCTTTTTAAATGTTGCCTTCTCGTTAGGGCACCATAATTGGGAAGAATCGAATTACTTATGGTACGACACATTGCAGAATCACCAGAATGATATTGGAGTTTAGGCAGTTAAATTTTGAGATCAAGTTGTATAGTCTGTGCATGTATCCCTTTGACAATAGAAGACTAAAGTATTTAAAGGGCATGAAAGGGGTATTCACCAACGTAGAAACGTCATTTTAAAATTAGAGCTAGGCTGTTCAGGAACAAAATTAGCAGCACTTTTTCACAAAGATAACAGAAATTTGGAGCTCTTTACCCCATCACCTTCCCCAGCCAAAGGTTATGATTCCTGTTACATGTGGAGAATACAAAACTCAGATGGCTAAATTTTTGTTCGATAATTTTATCTACAGATGTAAGTAAAGGCAGGTAAATCAACCATTACCTAATTGCTGAATACTCTCAAGGGCTGAATTGCTGACTCCTAATGATCTCCGGTTCATACATCATGACAGGGTATACATATCAAACTGTCCAAGGACCCCTTGCAACTGAATTATTTGTTTCTAAATACTACAGTATGTTACACTTTCGTAGTCAAGTGAGTTGAATTAGTGTCCTATCAGAATTAAATTCATGTGCTAGAGTTAGCAGTCAGCCAACTGAGTAATTTTTAAAAATGTCCTGAAATAGTGACAAGACTTATGAGAAAATCTCCAAAAGCTATGCTGTTCTGCTTTCCAAAATTTCCTTTACCGCTTCTCCAAAATAGCTATGTAGTTTTGCTGTTGCCAAAGGGAACTTAATGCATGTACGCAGGTGGGAATTTGTGACGTTCTAGCCAAGATTGGAATTCCCATTCACAATGTACATTCAACCTCCAACTGAAGCAGTACAAGAGAGAAGTTGGAGCTATAGTGCAAGAGCAAATTAGGATTGGTTCAGTGAACTTGAGATGGAGAGAAAATGTGCTAACATAAACTGGGAAAAGAATAGGACGAATGTGAATTGAAGTGATGGGAAATAAGAACGCTGTAAAAAGGTGGGCAAGGATGATTTGAATGCTTCTATGAATGAGGAAAGGTAATTTTAAAGCAATCAACAAGCGTATTGATAACCTTTTTTACACAACTTCTGCAATCTTTGGTTGCATCTTTTCATGTCATGATAAATGGATGGCACTAATTATTTAGTACAGTTACAGTAGCCTATAGTCTGTCTGCCTTTGCACTGAAGTCTGAGTTATCAGAAATTCCCCGATTCACAGCAACATCCTGTACAAGGAATATGGTAGGATTTGTGTGAACAGAGCGAGCAACTACATATCTCCCTTAAATAGCCAGATTGCATAATCTTTGCCGAGGCATGTGGAGTCTGAACCAGGAAGTATCTTTTAGGAAAGTTAACTCATTGTAAAATCATGTACAGAAAGCAAAACATAGAGAAGTAAAGAAAGAAAGGATTAAGTGAGAGATGAGAAGCAAATTATTTTAAACTATTTTAAAATTGGAACCAAAAATTAAAATTAACAAATGAGACTCGACAGGCAAATGGTTAATTTTCAGTGCCTGAGAGGTTGTTTAAATAAGTTCTGTAATAAATTTTAATTACTAAACAAAAAGCTTACACTGGAATAGCCAAACACTAATTTTCTGTCATGTTTAGTGGAAATTTTTCATGTAAGTACCACACAACATCTTTCTGTTCCCATGTGTCTCGATGCTGAGTTTCTTTGTAAGATACAAGGATATTAAAACATTGGGAGGGCCAAGGCAAGCTGGACAGCAACCTGCACCCACACTGATAGCAGGTCGCTTATTTTGGTCGTGAAATATGTATTACAAGGACTGAACAAAAAATCTGGCAAGAACAAGTAATTTTAGATCACCTTTCACGTATTAATAAATCACTAAAAACAGAATGTCCTAGTTCTGCATGGGTAGAAATGTGGAGGGCGGAACTTAATTGCATGGGAGGTCAAA